CTGCCGTCCACCATGTGAACCAGCATGAGTAAAGCCCTGCCGTCCACCATGTGAACCAGCAGACGCTGCTCACATCACATTTGGTCCGATCGCAGTAGTAAAAGTCCTGATGCAGGTTTTCTTCAGTGAACATCTCAAACTGTCATCTAAAGTTAACGTTAGCTGCTTTAAATGCTGTTTTTTCTCAGTGTAAAAAATGGGAGGAGCCTGAGGCAGAGCAGCTGTGTGTGTGTGTGTGAAGTCCTCACAAAGATAGCGAAATGTGTGTGTGTGTCTTCTTTCTCTGTTTTTGTATAAAAAATGCTGGGGTATTAAAACATGGTCATTTTATTTTATGTAAAGAAAAGATACTAATCTGATTAATATAGAAATAAAGACAGAATATGTAGCACTAGATAAAATAAATCTTTCATTATTTTTTAAAAGAAATGTGTAAAAGAATAAACCCTGTGTGGCAGCACTTCACTCAGCCTGCAGCAGACAAGGCTCAGTTAGTAAATTATTCTTTTTTTATTTAAATTAAGACCTGTGTAACATTTGTTATTCTTATTTTCATCATGTTAATGGAGGAAGAAAAAGCAGTATCGGCCAAAAAAAAAAAAACAATCGTCTGCATGTATGGGCGTATCGGTTAGCTGATGTCAAAATAATGGGTAAGTTGTATCGGTCCATCTCTACCAGTAACTTCAGCTGTTTGTGTCAAAATAAACTGGATCTGATGTTTACCTGGATCTCTTTGAGGAGAAATTCAATTCTTCTTTTCAGAAAGACAAACATAATTTTAAAGACTCGCTGCAGATCAGCTGCTTGGATGTAAACAAAGCGAGTCAGCAACTTCAGCCTGGAATAAACAAACAAACAAACAAACAAACAAACAAACAAACAAACAAACAACAGGGGTTAGAAAGACTGAGGCTCTGAGGATAAGATCTGGTTTAAATTATTTTTCTAATGAAAAATGTGGGAGTTTTTGATTTTTTCCCTCCATTCACAAATGTAATCAGAGTTTTATGATAAAACCTGTTCTGAATAAGTTCAGTAAATTATAAAGAACAAAAAGTAATAAATCCTGTAAAAACATGTTTTTCCAGTGGAACTCAGTAAACACGTCAGACGTTTAGTTTTTTATAAAACAAGTTAATTCTGATGACATCAGCTTGTCTGTACAGCTGTTGTTGTTTGTGTTTATGTTTGTAAGATGTCCTGATGCTGATGAGGAAGTTCAGGTGTCTCCCAGGTGATGTCAGCATCGTCCAGGTGTTTCCAGAACAGCTACCTGGTCTCCATGTCCTGCAGACTCTTTGCTGCTGCCTCCATCCTCTCTGCCAGCAGCTGCAGGTAGACGTCCAGCTGCTTCTTCATCAGCAGCAGGACGCCGTCCATGGCGCCGCTGATGAATCTGAAACTGAGGGGAGACCGAACCAAACGACTCGCCGTGAGAATCCAACACTCAGAAAACCTTCTCACCGCCACCGTATGTCCTGTACCTGTGGTTCTTATGAGACTCCAGCTGACAGTCCCTGCAGGTGAGCTGCACACAGGTGACACAGAACAGCTTCAGGGTCTCAGACGGGTGCACTTTGCAGAACTTGGTGGGAGAAACGAACCCAGAATCTGAGGACCAAAACAAACCCAACACACGACCGATGAAACCTTCAGGAAGCAGAAACTGGGACTACAACTGAAGAGCTGACAAGAAGTGACCTCACCGTCTGACGCCTGGTTCTGGAGGCGGTGCCATCGGGTCAGCGAGACTCGACGGTGGGCCGACACGCAGTCGTCACACAGAGCCTCGTTACAGTCCAGACACCAACACCTGGCTAACGAGCTGTCACAGTTACTGCACTGAGGGGGAGAAGAGAGAAACAAAACTAACTAAATACATCACTTCTTTAATAAAACTTAACACAGTCTGAAACTTAATGACTCTAATTAACCAAATCAGCTAAAAGAACAGAGTTATTAAAGACAAATGAAGCTAAACAGCTAAAAACGTAGCTTAAATGAGCAAAAACAGAGGGTAAAACTGAGAAAACAGTAGCTAAAGGCAGTAAAACAAAAGCTACAATCAGAAACTGTAGCTAAACAGCAGCTAAAAGCTAGTTTTATAAACTTAAAACTTAGCAGAACTTTAACTAAAGTTAGCCAAACAGTGGTTATAAATAGCAAAATGGCAGCTAAAAACCTAAAGATAAGATAAGATAAGATTTTATTGATCCCACAGTGAGGAAATTGGCACATTACAGCAGCTCATGGTTTACTGGTCACTTATTGAATCTGTTCTCACCTTCAGAATCACTTCCTGGTTTAACTTTCTCACTGGCAAACAGACAACAAAACTGGCACACATCAAATCAAGCTAGTAAAATAATTGGTTTGACACAAACTCCACTGTCCCGTCTGTATGAGGTCGCTGTGATGAGGAGGAACCCTCACATCTTCTACACCTTCCACCAGGCAGGAGGTACAAAGTATCGCTGGCTAAGAAGTCAAATATTCAAAAAATCATTTTTTCCAACTGCAGTTTCAGCAAAGAGAGGCATTTTTTAATTTTGTCTATGGTTTTTATCTTGTATATGTGTTTCTTTGAAATGTTATTTGTGTGTATGGAGTCCTGTCGAAGACAAATTTCTGCAAACTTTGGTGTCAGACAAATAAAGTTTCTATTCTATTCTATTTTATTCTATTCTATTTTATTCTATTCTATTCTATTCTATTCTATTCTCAATACAGGGGAGGGTGAGATAGAGTAAAGAAAGATAAAAAAATTAAAAATATATGTGGTGGCAGGATCTACCAAGAACGCAGAAACACGTTGGAATAATACCAGAAAAGTCTGCGTGTGTGATAATCAAATATGATTTAATTCTGAGCGACAAACAAACAGAACTGAATCAGGAAATTCTGCATGGTTGTGACTGAACTCGTCAGCAGACTACAGCCAATAATACACACCATGGTAACATCATATGACGTGCTTATAACCAATCACAGATCGCCCCATGTACTCTCCAGCCTATCACAGGGCTCCCAGCTCAAAGAGTGTCTTATCAAACAAGAGAGGTCAGTCCGTTGCGGAGTCCCGTTGTCTGAACAAACAGACAACGAGCGAAATGAGCTATCAGAAAGATACGAGTGATGGACAGTGTCAAGGTGAAACAGATAGAAATAATTAGTCCATGACAATATAAATAAAAACTGCTGAAAGTAGCAGAACTACAGCTAAAATAGCCAAACAGTGGTTAAAAAAGCAAAATAGCAGCTAAAACCTGAAGAAGAAAAACATGTAGAAGCAGAACTTTAGCTAAAGTAAAAACATTGTAACAACCTGAAGTTGTATATGATTTAGTTTGATTATTTTCACCTGGTTTTCCTCACCTCTGATGTTCATTGCTGATTTTTTTCACCTGTTAGTCACAGTGACTTCACCTTTAAAAGCTGCCCTCATCTGTTTTGTGAATAAAGTGAAATAAATAAAGTTTGTTTAAAGATGAGGTTTACCTGCTGACTCGGGACGTCTCCTCGCTCGTCCATCGGCTCCATGCTGATCAGACAAGTCGTCTCCTGAGGGACACAGTTCCTTCACCACATGAATAAGAAGTTGAACCTTTAGTTCTATTGTTTGTGTTTAGATTACAGTTAGCTGTTATTTAGCATTAGCTCAGATTTATGCAGGAATTTAGGTTCAAAGCTGTGGGATGAACCTTGTTCCAGCAGGAAGTGAATTTGAATTGTTCAGATTGAATCTGAATGTGCAGAATTTGAAATTGAATTAACTGAAACTGAATTTAATGTTTTGAAAGTGAATTAATTTGCTTTGAAACTGTATTTTGGTTTATTAAAAATTCAGTTTGACTACTTTCACTTTCAGTTCCATAATTCAGATTTAATTCCTGCTGGAACAAGATTGATCCCGTACACAGCATTTAGACCAGGGGTCTGCAACCTGCGGCTCTGGGGCCACATGTGGCTCTTTGGTCCCTCTGCAGTGGCTCGTTGAAAAAGTGACCAAACATAACAGCATGTTTTTGCTGTTTTTTAATGTTTTTTAATGCACAAAGTAAGAGCTGTTAAATAATCCAACTTCTATGATTTTTCTCTCAAATCCATCAGGCTTTTCTTTAAATGTCTTTAAGACTACATAATAAGATTAATTAGAAAAACGTGTGCTCCAATAGTTCAGTTAAACTAGTTTTTATGAAATTCGGCGTAAACTACAGTATTTTTCTTGTTTACATGAATCTGGTCTTTTTATTTGTCCTGATGTGTAAAAATAATTATAACTAATAAAATGCACATAATATGGTTTAGTTTTATAATGTCACCTCCACTGGCCGTAAAGCTTCCTGAAAAGGCCTCCAAAAGGCCCAAGGACCAACAGTTGACAATCACAGTTGCAGCTTGTTTTGCAGCTCTGAGCACATTTTATTAGAGCCAAGCAGCAGAAATGACTCGTAAAGGTTGCAGACCCCTGATTTAGACCCTTTAAAACACAGGAAGTTTGATTTAAAAAAAGGATTTTAACAAACTATTTACAGACCAAGGGATGATTTATGAGCATGATGGATGAAGGAGTGAAAATCTTATACTAACTGACGAAACGTTTACTTAAAACGATCAATTAAAACTAAAACTGCTGTATTGTTATGTCCTGATGCATCTCAGTAATCCAGGTAAAAAATCAAAAATAAAAAAATAGTATAGGTCTTCTGGACGGGTTCTTCTTTAATGAAACGTTTCGTCTCTCCTCCAAGAGACTTCTTCAGGCTAAATTCAGGCTTTGCCTGAATTTAGCCTGAAGAAGTCTCTTGGAGGAGAGACGAAACGTTTGATTAAAGAAGAGTCCTCCTGAAGGTTTTGTTGTTTCTCTGCTTTGTTTCTGTTCGGAGCGCTCTTTTTCAGAACCAAACTAACAAAAGACCAAGAAGACGTCCCACTGAGCCGACAGAAACAGCTACAAGTGGGTTTGTGTCTTCTCCAGGACCGGGTTCTGATGACCTGATAACAGACACACACCTCCTCTGTTGTTTCTGATGGAAACCTACTGAGAGAAAATATTTTTAATCTTTTACTTCAAATCTGACAGATGTACAAAAATATAATAGAAAACAAAGAAACTATTACAAACATCATTAAACATCAAATATGTAACATGAATTTAAACAAAATATCACAAAGGGGTCTGGTTATGAGATATTAAATTTTTTAAAAATTGTTCTTGTTTTTCCAAGTTTCTGATTATTTAAAGTGAGTTTTTCAACAGAGGCAGTTTATATTTTTAAATCTGACTCTTTAAAATTATTCCATGAGGAGCTTTTTTCACTCCATTTCATTTTGTGGATATAATATTTTGCCAAAATTACAATAAGATTAATTAAATATGTTTCATCTGTTGGAAAGTTTGAATTGTTTGCAGTTTTGATAATAAAATGTTTTTTCTAATTGTTGCTGTAAGGAAACATTGCACATGTAACCAAAATAACACAACATGAGGACAATCTACAAACAAGTGTTTAACACTTTCACCTTCATTTCAACAAAAAGAGCAGTTACTGACACTAAACGACAAATATTATCTTTAACTGATAAAATCTGTGTGCAGTTTTCAATAAGAATTCTTTGATCTTATTAAGTATATATTTATGAGGTAATATTTTGTTAAATAATCCCATCTATGTTTCCATGTGGGGACAGATAAATCATCTAACTGATCTCTGATAAATCCAGTTGTAAATTTCTTATACATGATGCTGGTTCCTTCAGTAGAAACTGACTCATACAGTACAATTCATCAACATGTATGTTTTGTGTTAAAGTATGTAAACTATGAGGAACAGATTTAACGACTAATTCAAATTCATTCAGAGGTATAAACATGTCATTTTTGATTTTAAAAAGTTCACAGCTGTACCACTCACCATTACTGTCGACTAACTGCTTTACCAGGTTAATATTTTTATCAACCCAGTTATGAAGATATAATGATTTGTTTTGATGCAGTATATATAAGTGTTGTTCCAAAGGATGCAGTCATGTGGAGAGTAGTTGTGTTTGTATAAAACAGCCCAWCCCAGTAGAACCTGCTGATGAAACTTAACTCATTTAACTGGTTTAAGTTTTCCAACTGTGAAAGGACAACGCAATCAAAAATTTAAACCCCTACTTTACTAAACAAATGATTCGGGAAAATATTCCACATAGAAGTTTGATTTTTTAGAAATCTCTTAATCCAATTAATTTTTAATATGTGATTAAAGATGGAAAAAGTCCAAACATTTAGAGCTCCTTCAGATAATGACTTTGAAAGAACAGATTTTTTAAGTTTATGTGACTTATTAATCTGATGAAGATCAGAACATCGAGCTTTACTGACCTGTAGTGATAAAAAACATGACGCTCACATTCCTGCTGCCTTGCTCAACAACACTCTACCATTAATAGATTTATCCCTGGATAAACGACTATTAAATGTCTTTTTAATGTCTTGGTGAACAGAAGAACAATTATTACCCATGTTAGTGTGTTCTATAGAAATGTTAACACCAAGATATTTTACAGTATCTCTTATCAGGATCCTACATGTTTCTGTATCAGTAGATGTAAATATGGGTAAAATTTCACATTTAAGATTCACTTTCAATCCTGAAATGTTAGAGGATTTGGATATAATAAATAAAGCTACAGGGACTTCACCTGAAACTTTTAAAAATAATGAATCGTCAGCAGGTCCTCCTGATGTGCTTCATAATAAACTGGAACCTTTCAGTGAACTGCGCATGCGTCAAACTGCGCATGCGTCAAACTGGCGTCAAACTGCGCATGCGTGTTTCATGCTTTAAAGCGGAAGTCGGTACAAGAGAACAGATAAACATAGACTTTAAGTTTAAACTTTTTAACTGTAAGTTTAAATCTCCTTTTTAAACTTTAAGTTTAAAGTTGTTTCTGACATTAGGAGTAACTTGCTCTCGCAGGTTCTGGTCGGTACCACAGCCTGTACAGACCCGGTTCTGTTCAGAGATCAGGTTTTCCTCCAACAAACCGTTCCGTTTAAATTAATACAATTCTCTTTTTATTTCCTAAAGTTTGACTCAATAAAAGATTTATCCTCGTTTCTTTACAGACTTTATGACTAACTTTGACATTATTGATCTTTGTAAAAAGAATAAAAAGTTTTAACATCAGCAGCGCGTGAGTTTAGCTCATTTGTTCCACTTACTGACCGGACGTCGCTCACCGTTATCTGCTTCACCCGCCACGGCGGAACCAGAACCAGAACCGAGCCTCCTCTCAGGCTGTAAACTGGGGCCCGGTTCGGCTCCGAACTCGACACCGGCCCGTTCTAAAAACGCTTTCACAAAGCGGTACACATTAGGACGCAACAGTTGGCTGTCGGCAGCGCGCATGCGCGAACATCCCCATGTTGCGTTCAAGGCCCCTCGGAGAGTCGGAACTCACTGTGACGTCATTTTCAAACAAAGGGGAAACGTTTTATCAGGACAAAAAAAATAAAGAATCTTAAAGAGGTTTAATTATTTACAAATAATTCAGGTTAATTTACACATGGAATAAACTTCCTTTTATTGTTAAAAAGAAAAAGACAAATGTTTGACAATAAAGATCAAACATTTAAATGCACAAAATAACAGTCGATCAAACTCTACAAACTATACAAAACTAAATCTCTCACTTTAGACTGATTTATGTGTTGTTGTTTTTTGGCATTAATATTATTATTTATATTGTTTCTGTTGTTCATTTTCTTGGTTATTTTCCTCTTCCTCCTGCTCGGCTGAAGCTCTTCTCTGGTTTAAACCTCAGTTTTCAGTCTAGAATTTATTTTGAAAAGGTCACTTGTGTCCAGCAGTCTGATGGCTCGTGGGCTGAGACTGTAGCAGAACCTGGGGGGTTCTGGTCCTTCCAGTGGGACGAGGGGGATAGAAGTCTTTCTGATCCTCTCTCAGGTTCTTCACCTGAGCAGGTTCCACCTCAGACTGAGATGGTCCTGATGATGGTCCTCCTGTCAGGGCCCGAGGACAGGGAGGTCAGACCAGCACCCTCAGGACCCTGGTGGTCTCCTCCTCCACGGCTGTGAGCAGATCACCTGAAGCTCCTGTAAATAATTATAGTCTTTTATGTAAAACATAACTTTCTAATGAGAACTGATGACACAAAGGTTTATAAATGACTGTTTGCATAAATCATGGTGGAATTTTGTTGTTATAAAACAACAGGTGTTCACTTTGCTCTATAGGAAATAAAGCTAATAAAGCTAGCAAATAAATCTAAGTTTACCGTGGTACCTTACACTGTCAAACTTGTTTTTAGGGGGTTCAAATTGGGGTGGGTGGGACATAGTTTGGGGGNACATAAAGTCCAGACATTCAGCTTTCATTTGAGGGTATCCACATTAAAATTGGATGAAGGGTTTAGGGGTTTGAGCTCCTTAACATGTGCCACCCTGTTTTTAAAGGGACCAAAAGTAATTGGACGATTGACTCCAAGGCTATTTCATGGACAGGTGTGGGCAATCCCTTCGTTATGTCATTCTCAATAAAGCCCAAGTACTAGAAATGAACATTTTATTTACAATTATTTACTTCTGAGCCTCTGAAATGAAGGGATCGTGTTTAAAAGATGCTTTAGTTCCTCACATTTCTATGAAWCATTTTGTTCAACCCACTGAATTAAAGCTGAAAGTCTGAACTTCAACTGCATCTGAATTATTTTGTTTAAAATTTATTGTGGTAATGTCTTGAACCAAAATTAGAAAACTGTTGTCTCTGTCCAAATATATATGGCCCTAACTGTAACTTTGATCCTGTGTGTCTCTCCTCAGCTAAAGGATGACGCAGTGGCCTTGGTAGATGTTTTTGCTCCGACTGATTTCATCCTCAACTCACCAATTGGCTATGCTGATGGACAGGTAACATACTGAACTCAAAACATACATTAAATCAAATAATTTATGTCCCATTGAAGAAAAGTGAAATGTTCATTAGTTTTTTAGAAGTTTAGTTGCCAAGTTGATTTGAAAACGTGAGATGATGAATGTTCACATCACAACTTGATTGGTTATTTATGAGCAGCCAGAGCTTAATTTTAAAAAGCTCTCGTCTTTGCTGTTATAACTGTTACTGTTTTGTGAACAAGACTCTCAGGAGGAATAGTAATTTGCATTTAAGCTCAACTGCATTTGAGTTTATAACTTTAACAGTTATAAAAGCTTCATAAGCTTAAAAGTCAACCTTCCAGGTTTAGAACTGAAATGCAAAAAAAGTCCAGTTTTCTTCAATAAAACCAACTCAGACTATCAAGTCCKGAATGACTGAGAATCTATATCACCATCATAACTGAATAGTCACTATTTGGATTTTGTTTTTCATATCAAGGATATGTGGGTATATCTGGGTATGTCTGTGGCTAAATATACATTTAGCCACAGACAATAACCTGAGCTATACTCAAACCAAACAAGTACATATACTGAGAAATCAAATTGGACCCCTGTCTTTGAACTAAATTATCATTCTTTTCATCAGAAATGACCAATTTTTTTCTTCATTATTATTTATTCCATCTACAGCTGTATAAGAACCTGTGGTCGACAATGATGCAGGGCAGTCAGGTTCTGGAACGTCCCTCATGGTGGAAAGAGTTCTGCTCAGATAAACCTGTGATTGGGTCCTTGCAGTCCAAACTTTGAAGGCTGAAGAAACGCTGTAGAGGCCCTGTGAACAAGCATCTGGAATAAAGAATCTTCAACAATGCTATGCTTAGAAATTTACGAAAGAAAAAATTTATTTCCATGTATTTACGTCTGAAAATCCACAGTTTACTGTAAATCACGTCATGTTWGGTTTTTGACAAATCAAAAAATCTAAAGGTTTTTACCGCTCATTTAAACACCAAACAATTGATAACAAACTTTTACATAAAGAAAATAAACTGCTGTCAGCTCTCCTTGATTTTATGAATAAATCATGTTTTGATGCATCAAATCTAAAACAATGTAAGGATGACACAATTGTGACAATAATTTCTGTTTGTTAAGCAACAAAAAACAACATTTATTATATTTTATTATTTCAGTTGTATCCAAAGTGTATATAATTGGATTTATGATAGGATTTCTACTGATTGGTGSTGGTGGATTTTTGGACTATTGTGAAATATGGAAAGTGCTGGCAGCTGTTCTTTCCTGTGGAGACTGCCTGCCTTGTGTGGCAGGCTGTCAACACTCAGACTCAAACGCTGGTGGAGGTGAACTGCAGGCTGGATGCTATCCTCGCTGGAGCTCCCAGGCCAGCTGTGGTTCCTGAGCCCCCTGGTGGGAATATATAGATCTTGGAGTAAGTTGTGCTCTGTGAAAGGCGAGGATGACCAACAAATT